CCATCACTGAGACTGTCATCATATGTAGACCGATAACTCAGCAGGGTAAGATTCTTTTTTACATTAATGAGTAAAAATCTTTGTATTCTGTGCAAAATTCGTTTAATTAATATCAGTGCAAGGCGCTCTCAACCGTAGCCTTCTCCAGTGCAACCTGAAAGTATGGAACATTATTACTTTCTCAAGTGTCAACATTACTTGAATATGAAAGTGAAAGTGGACTTTTTCAAGAGTTCAGCTGAACTAATAAGTTATATACTAGAGAAAATTAATTTTACTCACTTCGTCAGGTTAGTTCATGGAGTCATCTCATTGAACATCGAAGTGTAAAGGAACGAAGACATCACATTATATTACATCATAACATTTTAAAATATTTCAATTTTTTTTGAATTAAATATATCATTATGCAACAGCTGTATTTCTTTGGAAGTTTAACAATTTCGTGAGAAAATAATTTCGATCAATTTTCGATTGTATTCTTTCGTATTAATTTTAATTTAAACCATGCTGATTTTTGTGGTTACAAATTTTAGTGACAATTGAAAATTAGGTTAGAGCCGCTTAAGAGTGCGGGAGATTCAAAATTTTAAAATCCAAAAACCGAAGAATCCAAAAAGATTGAACAGTCTTGCAGATGACGAGCTGACTATTTTCGTTATCTAGACTACCTACCCTATTATGGTCATGGAGTGGAATTGATTCTCTATTTTGGTTTTATTCAAGGCAGTGAAAAGTTTGAATTTATTGGAAAAGACAAAATATGTTATAAGGTAAGAATCAAATACTGAAGAAAATTAATTTGATTTTTTTGAACTTTTTCTTTTGTTAATTAATGATGATTGATTCTTCAGAATAGAGATGTCCAGGAAGTTGATTCTGTCATTGCTTTCAATTTCCAAAATGAAAGAGATTTTCGGGTGTATTCAGTTCAATTTTTGTAGAAGAAGTTCAGCTTGATTCTGGTTGGCATCTAAAAAACAGAGACAATCGTCAACGTACAGTTGTGAGCATTAAAAGTGGGACACCCGACTGAGGTCTTTTCATTTTTCGCCATTTTGAGTAAATCAGTCTTTTCTGTACAACGGATTTTTTGTCAAACATGAAAATCCTTGTCATTGATGACGGTACGACGACTGGACCTGAACCAATGTAGTATTTCCTTGTTATTGTTGGTGATAACGTGTTGATTTTCCAAGAAATTCATTAAAAGATAGCCAAAAACCGTGATAAGCAACTTCCCATGGCAAGCCCATCGGGTTGTTGAATGTTGAATGTAAAATAGTTTTTTTACGTCAGCTGATCAAATTTCTTGGGATTTTGTTGATAGAATCGATCTTTCCACGAATGAAAAATTTGCATTATTCATTCATAATATTTCTTCAGCATTCGATACTTCATTTCCAGTTAAAAAACATCTTAAACGTATGAACCAAAGTCACACTGCAAATTGGTTTAATGAGGATCTTCGACAGATGCGTGACACCTTACAGTTTTTTAGAGAATTACACACTAATAACACAGGCATTGAACTGGCAAATAATTTCAAGGCACACAGGAAATTCTATAAAAAAGCAATAAAATCGGCCAAGAAAGCTTCTAATGACCGATTAGTCCTAAATTCTCTTAATCCTACCAAAGCAATGTGGCAAATTATAAATCAAGCTAGCTTCAAGAAAAGAACTTGTACCAGTGGTTTCATTTTTCTCCTAACGACTTCAATAATTTTTTTGCGGATATTGCCTTGAACGTACAACGCCAAGTTGACCCGGCTCTAGCTGACCCTGCAGAAAATATTTCTAACTTTTATCATCATCCATTCACTTTAAGTCATGTTAGTTTTGTTGAAATTAGGGATGTTATTGATCAACTCTGAAATAAAAAAAGTAAAGATCCCTTTGGACTTTCTGTTGAATTGGTGAAAGGCATCTGAAGCCTTATAATCACTCCTCTCACAAAAAGCTCATTAACTTCAGTATCAATGAAAACACTTTCCCTGCTATTGTGGAACAAGCAGTAGTAATTTCAGTATTCAAAAAAGGTGACGTCAACGAGGTACCAAATTACAGACCTATCTCATTGCTTGCTATTTTTTCAGAAATATAACTTGAAAAAACGAATTTTTAGAATCCAACGAACTTTTCTACAAGCAACAATTTGGCTTCCGAACGGGACGAAGTACAGGGTATTTGATTATATTTAAGCCCATATCTACAACCTTTACTATTTAAGATAGAACAAAATTTCAAATACAAAACTTGACAATTTTTTTTCTATATTTTCTTTTAACGTTATCAGAAAAAACGAAATCGCATGGGAAAATGGATAGACGTAGACAACTCTGACTTTTAATAATGGAACACTCTGTATATTATGCGATAAAATGAAAGATCTTTTCTTTCTGTTTCCAAATATATTTATTTATGGCGTCAGCCATTTTTGACATACATATCTTAGCTTAAATTATAAATAAATTGCAAAGAAATTTTATGAAGATAGAGATCCCTATGGAATTTCTTTGCAAATTATTCATAATTTAACCCCATATTTGTCAAAAATTACTCACGAAAATGGGATCAATATATATACTGCTGGACACTTGAACATACACATACAGATTTTTAGGCAAAATTCAATTTCATCGCCCCGTATATCATAGCCCTATGGTGCTATGAGAAATTTACGGCAAGCTTTATCCGGAAAAACTTGCTATTTTAAATTCCACAAACCGCGTTAGTGTGTCCAGCAGTTTATACATATATCATATATTTGGAATCAGGAAGAAAATATCTTTCATTTTATCGCATATTATACAGGGCGTTCCATTAAAAAAAGTCGAAGTTGTCTACGTTTCTCCATTCTCCCATGCGATTTTGTTTTTTCTGATAACGCTAAAAGAAAATATAGAAAAAAACTGTCAAATTTTGCATATAATCAAATATCCTGTACAGCTCTTGGAGTGCTGGATCTGGTATCGGCTATATACGAGGCCTTTGAGGGGCGAGGGTATTTGGCAGGCAGCTTTTGTGACTTGAGTAAAGCGTTCGATTGTGTGGAGCATGAATTACTTCTAGCCAAGCTTCAAAAATACAACCTTGATCAATCCAGCATCTCCTTAATTAAAAGTTACTTGTCGGGTCGACGGCAAGTGGTGCAGGTTGCTGGGGTAAAGTCAAATGAAAGAGATGTACAAATCGGAGTGTCTCAAGGTTCTGTACTGGGTCCTCTATTATTTTTATTGTACATAAATGATCTCCCACAATAGGCGCTCATCATACCCTTTTTGCTGCTGACACCCTAATTGCCTGCTATGAAAACGAGCTGGATCATGCTTTGGAGCGCACTCGTGTTGCACTTTCTAAAGCTGAAGGATAGTTCTCCGCCAATCGCTTATTTCTCAATGCCTCTAAGACCCAGACCCTTGTCTTTTCCACCCGTGCACTGCCTATGTGAATGAAGCTTCCAGTGATAAAATCTTGGGTGTCCATTTGGATCCCGGGCTGCGCTAGGATGCCCTGTGCTCTAGACTCGCTTCGAATGTATTTTGCTGCGTGGTCTAAGTGGCTCTGTGTCGCATTCCGTGCTTAGGCAAGCATATTTTTCATTGATGCATAGCCATATTTCCTATGCTATCATTGCATGGGGTCACAGTGCAGGACCAACAAGAGTCTTTAGTCTTCAGAGGAGAGCGGTTCGGTTATTGGCAGGGTTGTTGTGGTCTAACCAAGCCATACTGATGCCCTGTGCTCTAGACTAGCTTCAAAGGTATTTTTGCTGCGTGGTCTAACTGGCTCTGTGTCGCATTCCGTGCTTAAGCAAGCATATTTTTCATTGATGCATAGCCATATTTCCTATGCTATCATTGCATGGGGTCACAGTGCAGGAGCAACAAGAGTCTTTTAGTCTTCAGAGAGCGGTTCGGTTATTGGCAGGTTGTCTTATAGAGAAGATTGTGGACAGGCTTTTATAGATAACAATATTCTGACTGTTCCATGTCTATTCATATATGAGTGCCTTGTGTATTTGATGCTACTCAAGTAGTCACCTGGGTAGTTATCGGTATCACGTTGATATAATTATGACACTCTTAACAGACATTTTCTGGTACCAAATTACCATCGGCTTGAGAGGTGCAGGAGTGGTTCAAGCTGTTTCTCAATTCATTTTTTTAATGAGTTCTCTGGTTCCTCCAAGAGCTTACCAGAGAAATAGTTCAAACATAAAATAAAGGGCTTCCTGTGTAGTCAAGGATTTTATAGTTGTACAGAGTACTAGTTATGAATTTTAATTTTAATGCGTAATAGGTTCGTCGTAATATGTATATGTTCTGTCTTTTTTCATGCAGTTTTACCTGTAATATTTGTGTTTGTTTTATTTTAATTTATATAAATGACTTTTTTGTCTTTATTTTAAGTTCAGTATTAGTCACTGTGATTTAAGCATTTCTCTGTCTCTTTTTTTTTAAATAATGATATGTATAATACTCAGCATAATCTTCATGATAAATGTAAGCTTTATTTATATTGACTTGTGTAAGGTACAATTGTATTTATAACAATTATAACACCAATAAACTTTTCTGATTTTTTTTTTTAGATTTTGCAGATTGGTACCGTGCAATATTATTTTTAATATTGCATTGCCACTCCTGGATGTCGCGCGATTCACTCTGAAAAACATTTTGTGGCCCTTGATTTGTAAGGCGTTTAGAGCAGTAAGGCCTTTGGTTAAGCATTTTACCCATGTGGCGCGCCGTCGACAGGACGAAGGATGCAAAATCTAGATTCCTAGATAAAAAAACATGTTGCTTTATCCTTGAAGCCATTCATAGCAAAAGGAAATAATTATTCTGGATTTGTAATGGAAAAAAAAAAGTTGTCGGTTGTCCGACAAATAAGGAGCAGCATCGAATTCCGTCCGAAGCCCACATATTAAATACAACACACTTGACAACAGAGTCCGGCACAGTAAAGTAACACCGCGTCGAGCCGTTACATCAGTCGCGAAGCAGCATCTTTAAAAACTAGTAGCAGAAAAGTAGTGATTATTAGACTAGAGCCGAAAGATGGCTTGCGGGCCCTTGAGTACCGCCCTGTTAGTACTACTAAGTACGGCATTACTGGTTGATGCGGTCTCATTGGATTATGGTAAGTTTTATAACAAAAAACACGATGAATATAATAATGCCAGTTGTGTAATTTTCCATTTAAAAATACAAATTATTGGCAAAATCATTTTTTTTTTTTGGATTCCAGCCAAAGTCTTGTAAGAAATTGACTTATACAAAGACAGAGATAGGCTTGAAATGTAGGTTAGTGAAACAATAACATACTCACGCACCAAGTGACTTTCGCCTTTTAAGGGAGACAAGTTTGCATTATGCATTGATATATTGAAGTCACAGTGGTCATTTATTTTCAAATGGAATTCCAATTCTCTTGAATTGAGTCAATACTGTGTTTATTTCATAATATAATTACGTTATTAACGTGCAAAAAATTATTATTTAAAAGTATTCTATGTCTAAAAATATTATGCCTAACAAATAGCTACAAAGATGCGTGTACTTCCTGTACCAGATAACCCGAGAGTAAAAATTGCAATAAAAACGTAAATTCGCATGTTCCATTTCTTGAAGGGCATTTTAAATTTGTTCTCGCCAGAATAATTGGGTAGAAATGGAGTAAAATCATTTATTTTTTGTACTCGAACACCTACCCAAATTCGCAGATAGGTAGGTACCTACTTCTGTTGAAATATTAATCCAATGCTTTAACTACTTTCATGTTTTAGTTACCTACATAATATCTTCTATTATTTTTGGAATATGTGATCAATTATTAGTTTTCACAAAGATAAATATTTCAAAGTTGAATCACGCATTCGGTTCAAACTGTTCCCACGTGATATTTTTATTTCTCCAGAACGCTTTAAGGTACCTAAGAATTTCATATTTTGAAATCAGTTCAGATTCAGGAGCATATTATATTGAAACTAAATAAGGTTAGCTTGAAAATTAATCTAGCACTAAATTTTATACGAATTGAATTCTTCAAAAACTATTACGGGCTATTTGAATTTTTATCAAGATGCACCATTTGATATTAATTTTTTTCTCCAAGAGCTTGGATAGCAGTTTCAAATTTGCAAAATAGATAGCAGAGGGTTAGAAGCATGCCTTAGGTATTCCAATTACACACTCATTCAATTGAAATCATATATTTCTTTCAAAAAAAAATATATATATATTTGAATACATACTTAATGTAAGCATGGGTTGGTACTCAAATACAACACCTGAATCCTAGTTATTTTATTTAGAACGGTTGAAAAAATCCATATGCGAATTTAAACCTCGATAGTAGGGAGTAAGGAGCATATAATAATATTTAATTTAAAAATGAAAAATAAAAAAAACTTAAATCTTATTCAAGCTTCAGAAATTACCTACAGTTTTCAATTTGAAATATCCATAGAAGCAGGTATGGAGCGTATTATAGTACCTACTAAAATACAAGTCAATTTATTCTTATCTAATAATTGACAGCCGGAATTCACGAACATTTTCCACGTTATATAAAACTTCCTATCTCAATTTTTCAGAATGGGTAAGAGCACAAAGTAGATAGGTACCTACCTACTCAAATTTTAAGGTACAATTTATTTATATTTTTCTAGCAGTCAATTTTCTATATATTATGCTCAGGAAGGTTAAGCAGTTTTCAAAACGATTTCGTCCCATATCTTTTATTCAAAGTTACTTAAAATTTTAACTACATACATTACCAAAAATATGCCCTAATAATTGTTAAAATTTGATAATCTTTGAAATCAAGCACCTAATTTGTGAAAATATAAATACAACACATTTTTTCTCAACAACCATTAGGCATAAAAAAATTATTTTCTATCTTTCAAATAGAGGAAGATTATAGTACCATATTATACTTAAATTTCAAGTTCATGTTGAAAAAAAAATCAAAAACATGCCGGATACTGGAAAATACAGGTGAAATACATAAAAAAAGAAACTCCCAAACAAATTATTATCGTATCGAATCGTCCAATTTCTCCCAATATGTGGGTTCTCTCATTTAAATAGCTCCAATTAAACAAATAATAATTGCCTAGTTTTTGTGGGTTTTATAGTTTTTGTAGGAGTATTCTAATTATGTTTATCGCTAGCCAAATCGGGATTAAGTTATTCAAAACAATGAAATATTATTTTAGAATCGTCCACCTTCAAAAACTTAAGAGAAATCCCAAAGTGTGAATCCGATTTTGGATGCGTGCCAAAAAACTATTTTCTAACCAGTTTGAGTTCCGAGTTAATAAATTCTGATTGGTACTTCCTATGGATTGACTGTGACCAACATTTTCTATTTTTAATTTTTAGTGTGTATTTTGGAAAAAAATATCAAATTTCGGGAATGATTAAGGCCATGTGTTTTGAAACTAAATGCGACTTTTTAGAAATATCAAATTTAAAGCTATTTTATTGGTAACACAAAAAAAGCAAATTACCTAGTACAAATTAATTCTAGTCAAATGGCAAATTTAATTTACGACTCTTGTAGGAGGATTCTTATGAATATGAATGACATAGACTTTTTGAACAGATGTTTTATTGTTTTTGCAAGTCCGAGCTGGCATTTTCATAAGCCATAACGAATTATTTAATACGCCAATTAAAATTAAAGCATCCTCTAATAGAAAATAATTGGGTAACGAAGTAAATAAATTGGAACACAGGAATAACTTCTTTGGCTTCCAAGTCTCAATTTAAAACAATAAGTAATTTTTGGAAAAATCATAATTGATTCTTTGTTGCAATTTTCAGCCTACATAATTCATCAACATAGAACCTTGTCTTCTCATTATTTAGCGGCATCAAGCAACTGACGCGTGTGTCTTAATTTGCTAATGTAATCCAATTTACTGTCCTTGTGAAGGAATGAAAACCAAAATCCTCTTTACTGTGCAGAATTGCGTCCCTTAAATTTATTATCTGAAATAGGGCTTGACTTTCTATGGGAATAAAGATGATACCTACCTATTGGCAGTGATTAAAAAAAGGTGTATGAGAACAAAGAAATTTCACAGATAAAATATACCTACAAGAATCTAAATGTAAGTTTTTTCCCATCAAAATTCGCACGTGCATGATACTTTCATCCCCAAGTTTCACAAAAGAAATATACAATTATCGTATTTCGGGTGAAGAGAGTTTGGATTAATTTAAAAACATTAGAAATAAAAGATAAATGGTTCTAAATTTTCAATCGAAATGCGGAACAATTGTACATTTGTTCCTTAATTTCCACAGACTAAACATAGGTTGAAGTCTCTAAATGCTTGCCTGAAGGCGGTAGGCTGAGCGGATTGTTTCCGTTGAAAACAAAAAGAGTCTGGGACATCTATCACTTTGGGTTTTATTTTTGATTGGTGAGTAAATTTGATCCTATTTAGGCCGACATAAACATTTCAATATAGGTACAAGATTCATGGTCGCCTAGATAAAGTACCTGCGTTGTTATTAAGTTAACCAGAAGGTTGTTTGATTTCAAAATGGTAGGTACTGTTGAAACTTCTCCATCGGAGATTGAGAATCATCATAAGGAGAGCGAGATGGCAGCCATACTCTATACACTAACGTTCAAATTGTCATGTTCTTCCGCAGCGGTTACATTTAATGCAGCCTTTCAAGTTCCCTTGATTGATTCTGGTGATCTTTTATATTTCCTCCATTTGGTATTCAATTTCTACTATTGGTTTTTTTTTCTTTCTCGTATTGATACAGCTCTAATCTTTTATTTGGATGTTACATAGGCCGCTTTGATTAGAGCTTCGCTGCTACTTGATGATTTGGGTATGAGCAGCATTCTCTGTACATAAATATTTCTCATCGCTTTAATGTAATTTTCGGCCGCTAGTCGTTCTCGCACATCTACTCTTGCTTCCGGGTAGCGAAAAAAACCAGACAGACGTCGGATATCGGTTTAAAATACTTGTGAACTTGCTACAGCTTCCTGTTGTTTTGTTCTTGGCTGTACCAGGTAAAGCTGTTGTTATCAAAAGTAAATTTAAGCGTTCCCTAGAGAACACTGTCTTTTTGTAGTTCCACATAGCCGGAAAATCTTGGGTTGAAACTCCCCATTGTGTCGTGTTTTGCGAAGTTTTAACCATTGTAATCCAAATTCGACGCACCATAGTTTTGTTGGAAAACTGGCGGAAGAGTCTCTCATAAGTCTAAAGCGGAGGACCACACAATGCTAAAATTAGGCCTTCACCCATGTCATCCGACTGTATTCCTAAGCCATGGCAACAGTCTCTAACCAAAGATCTCCAACTGGCACCTGTACAGGGTGTCCCAAATTCGAGGGCCAACATGGGGATATCGGTCACCGTTAGAGATACGAGGGTGGTTAAATTAGATAAAAGTTGCGCATTTTGATGCTTAACAAAATGCCGTTTTAAAATTTTAGAAATTCTCCATACTCCCGGAAGATTCCGAAAATTGCGATTATAGATTTTATCTTTCTCGGATCACTTTTGTTTGGACTTTAATGTGATGATATTATTTTAGAAATTCGACGTTTCGGTTTTCCAATGCCATCATCAACCTAATTTTTTTTAATACGGACCTGGATTTTTTTAAATATAATTTGTTGTTTTGACATTCTGAAATACGTCATATATAACATGTTTTGAAATTCCGACGTTTCGACCGAAAATATTCATCCTCAGGCAAAATTATTACTATAAATTTTGAATACGATTTCAAGTTGTAATTCGCATGCAAATTTTAGTTAAAATATGTGATGATGGTATTCTTGTATCAAATGAGAAAAATATCAACAGATAACGAACAAGCAATAGCAAAAACAAATTAACTTAACATCTAATGGGATAGAGACTAGTAGGTATTTAAGGAAGGAATTCAAAAAGACGTCCCTCTAGCACTCTAGCGAAATAGTCGGACTAACTTGGTCACGTGTCACGTGTGTTTTACAACCCCGACTTTTCTTGATTTTTTGTTTATTTTGTTGACTTTTTAAAATAATCTGTAGTTACGTTACAAGTGCAATTTCTTAACAAATGGACTGTTTAATCGACATAACGACCATTTTTAGTCACTTCAAAATCCAAGACAAAATCAACAAGTGCGCCCTCACGGTAGAGAATCTTTAAATGTATGGATAGGGATGGTCTGCATAATAAAATTATCAAACCTTTCTTTATTGATGGCAACCTAACGTCTCAAAAATAAATTAATTAACGATAATGTAATGGAGATTGAACCATTAAGCTTCGTACAGACTTGAACATTACGCCAAACAGAACAACGAACCGAACGTCGATCCAAACACTAATTTGAACGGGGCTACGAACGCATTTGAAAACCGGTTCGTAGCCCTGTCCAAATTAGTGTTTCGATTTTCGTTCGGTTCGTTGTTCTGTTTGTTGTTCCGTGTAATGTTCAAGTCTGTACGAAACTTTACGAGTCATGCAACAGTTATGGTGATACCTTGTTGGCCTGCACGAAGTCTGGATTTAAATCCTTCATACTATTTTCTGTGGGGTCTTACAAAATAGATTATATAAAAATACGCTAAACAATATTGTCTTGCGACAAAACTTAATAAGAGAGGTTTACTCCATCCCAGCTGAAGTAATTGTGAATCGATTTTAAAACTATACAAAAACTTTGCCAGGAATCAAGAAATTAGATTATATCACGTCTTTCAACTAAAATTGGCATGCGGATTGAAACTCGAAATCGTATTCAAATATTATGGTAATAATTTGCCTGAGAATGAATATTTCCGGTCGAAACGTCGGAATTTCCAAACGTGTTGTATATGACGTATTTTAGAATGGCATGGTGAAGTCCACCCAAAAGTGCTTCAAGAAAGTTATCATTATTTTTCTCGATCTCTTAAAATTAAGTCTGGAAAAAATAAAAACCTTAATCGCAATTTTCGGAATTTTCCGGAAGTATTCGGAATTTCTCAAATTTTAAAACGCCATTTTGTTAGGCATCAAAATGCGCAGCTCTTGTCTAATTTAAACACCCTCGAATCTCTAACGTTTACCGATATCCCCATGTTGGCCCTCGAATTTGGAACAACCTATACATCGCCAACAATTCCTGACCGTCGTAAGATGGTAATTTAACTTCAATACCGCTTAGAGAAGCTGCGACATTGCCTGATCTCAAGTCACATTTCAACTTTTTGATCGTGAACTTCGAATTTTTGATTTTATTCTGAAAAATACTCATGTCCCCACTCCCAACTACTTCAAGTACTTCTTTCATTGCATTCTAGAGTTCAGTTCTGGTAATTCTTCCGAGAAATGCTATGACGTCATTTTAGTTTTAAGAAATCTCGACAGTCAGTTTGGCAACGACTCATTGTCTGATGTCTGCGACATTGCCTAATCTCAAGTCACATTTCATCTTTTTGATCGTGAACTTCGAATTTTTGATTTTATTGTGAAAAATACTCATGTCCCCACTCCCACCTACTTCAAGTACTTCTTTCATTGCATTCTAGAGTGCAGTTCTGCTAATTCTTCAGAGATATACTATGACGTCATTTTAGTTTAAAGAAATCCCGACAGTCAGTTTGGCAACGACTCATTATCCGATGTCTGCTGATAAATATTATGACCTCAAATTTCACAGTTTGTTTTGGTTTGTTTCTTAAATTTTGTGTCAACGTCAACATAAAATTTGGTTAGGTTGACCAGCGTGGTAAAAGAACAAGGTGCGGTGCAAATATGAGGAATTTCATCAGTGTCACTCTTCAGAGCTTAGATAAGGAGAGCATCAAAGATTTGCGTCAGAGCCATTGTGAACGATTCATATTCGTCGGTCGTGGATGGCTATGTCATGCAATAGCGCCATTCCAGGGGCCTGTTTCATAAAAAATATTAGTCTAATAATATTACTCTTTAGCAAAAAGCATAAGTCAAAATTATATATAATTTTGACTTATAATACCTGCTAAAGAGTAATATTATTAGACTAATATTTTTTATGAAACAGGCCCCTGGACGTTTGAATATGTGGTATAAAAATAGCATTTTTAAAAATTATTTATTGAAAAAATTGGACATTCTAAAGCCAACTGGATTAAAAATGATAAAGCAATGAAATTCAAATATGATGAAACTCCCCATTACCAGTGGAGTTCAACTGAACCACTATTTGGTACAACCGGACCTAAGTGGTTGAAATTAACAATTATTGTTCATTAGAAAATATGTCCATTCGATCAAATGTCCGTTCAAACAAATATCTGCCCGATTATTTGTCTGTTCGATTATTTGTCTTTTGATCATAGGTCTCGATTAAATCATCTCTTTCGATATTATGTCCTGATACGCAATTTTTCGGCTTTTTATAAAATTTCCCTATTTGAACGTAAGTTCTCTAACATGTATTTCAGTTTCCCAATTTTCCTAACTTGTTGGACTTTTTCCAATTTCACAAATTACTTGTTATGTGGGCATTCACTATTGTGTGTAATATAATATTTGATAAATAAACCTAACGTGAGGATGTTTTTTCAGATATAACCAAAGACCTAGAAGAAGTAGTCAAAAAAGACAACTTTATTCTATCCATAAAACACATCAAACCAAAAAAACGCTCCAGAGGAGACATAGAAACCCTCTTTTCAGTAGATTTTCCTGGTGCAGAAAACAAATTTTCACTCCTACTCGACAGAAAAACTAAAAGAGTTATAGTAGCAACTCTTGAAGATAGTCGCAATAGAGAACAGCACTTTACAGTGGACGTACTAAAGGAAGATAGCACCATAAAATCACTAATTTTGGTCGTCAACCAATCACAACCAGCTGCTCACGCAAATCTTTACATTGACTGTGTCGCGTATGGTAGGGTTGCTACCCCTAAATCGATAAGGGATATGTTCGAAGCGATGAGAAGGCCTACCTTAGAAGTGGTAAGGATTAAGACTAACCTAATTTTAAGAAAAAATCGAAAGTAATGAGTTTCTCTAAAACTGTCTCACTCTAATTCTATTATGGACAAGGAAGTCAAGCTATAGATATATTCATCGCGCTTGTAGGTGGTTTTCATAAAAAACAATTGAATTGTTCTCTTGCTTTTTTTTTTAGATTTATTACATTATAGAGATCGAGTTAGAAGCTTCAATTACCCTATATTTTATCCTTATTATCATTCCATAAAATGCAACCAACGACTCAGAAAATAAACCTCTTAAATTTAATTGAAATTCTTCAAATTTTTTGTGTTTCAGAAACTCTACACTAAAGTTCGGGAGCTTCGATTAACGCTTTATGGTTAGTTTCTCGATGAGTTTTTTATTTGCGATTCTGTGAAACCCAGAATATCAACACTTTATATTTGATGATATTACTCACCCTAAGCTTCATTTATTTATAGATTCGCTCACGATTAAGAGTTTCGACACAACAAATAGTCTCTATCATTTTATATTAATTTTCCAAATTTTTCAGTGCAATATAAAAGATAGCTACATTTTATCATTCATCTTAGTTCCATGAAAGAAAGTACATAATGGAGGTAGACGGCCACAGAGACCTAAGGGCAGTACTGAGCCGTAACGAATGTCCACTGCCTTTAGAAAAACTTCTCGATGGAGGTTTTACCCAAGAATTAGTCAGTAATTCACTGAGAGATGATCCAAACATACAGAGTCAGGAGCCTTATGGAGCTTCCAGCATCAACTACCGTGGAGATATTCCCCTGGTATCCACTTTAGAGGATGGTAACAACCATAATTCCGTTAATTTATGAATTAATTTTTTTACGAAATCTTTATTTCAGTTGGCATGATCAACGCCATAAATCAGCTAATTAAAGTGGTAAACTTGGAAGTGGAAAAATGTAGGGGCCAAGCGGAAGCTTTTGATAAGCTCAGGCGTTTAATTGAAGAATGCGATTTGTGCAGACAAAGGCCTTCCCAACCTAGTTGCGCTACACATCCTCCTGGATGTGCTCCTGGAGTGCAGTGCCATGACACTCCCGAAGGACCACGTTGTGGGTCTTGTCCTCCAGGCTACATTGGAAATGGTATATGACATGGATGTTTACCTATTACTTTGTTCTTCACCGAGGCCATATGACAGTAAGGTGCCACAATTCACAGAGCTTTCTATCAGTCTGAAGGCCCAACAGGCGGAATAGAAATAAAAAGTTAAATTGAATTAATTGACATATCAGAAAGACCATGATCGCCAAGTTCACGTCAGGAGCACAGATTACCTAAATACAGATGCGTAAGTGAGTATCCTTGCCGTCGTCGATTCAAAGCTACGAAACCACGACTACGCAGGGCCAGCCGCCTGACGCATAGGCACAGATCGTCCGCGTCAGAACATTTATAGTGCGTGAGCGTGTTCCAGCCTGTTGTGGTTACATATAACCTTGAACCACGAATCCACCGCTCTTTCGCATCTGTATGTAGGTGATCTGTGTCAGGGGTTCTAACGATATAGTACTAGAGATTCGTCTGCAAAATAAACAACGACGTGTGAATTCGTTTCGGTTAGTTTAGGTTACTTTGAGTAACAATCGCATCAAAGTTTGGGTTAGTTTGAGATGACAAAAAAATATAGTCAAATAGAGCATCAGTAAAATTATATGTAGTACCTATTCACGCTGTGTAATGAGCTTCTAAGAAGCGTGGTTCTTATAAAAAAAAAGCACAAAATCACGCCACTTAAAGCCCCTCATTATAGTAGTGAGTGTTCGCAACTACCTTCATTTTGGCAAATAAAAAAGTTGCATCAAATTGCTTTGGGGCAGCCAAAGGCGGACAATTTTCGAAGACTGCCAACTTTTCTCAAGTATAATATCAGGTAGAGTCTTTTTCAATGTTTTTTTCGATGCTGAATCAAGCGACAGTATTCACTAGTCGATAGATTCAGTTGTTACAAATTCACGGCAGATTTTCTTAATAAAAAGCCAAAGATACATTTCATGAGGCAGCACAAGTCTATCACATGTATTTTGAGTTCAAAAACGTTTTCTTTCTATTCAATGCAACCTGGGTCTTCTTCAAGGTCATTTAAGTCCGAGTTTACGTCGAAATGGACGTCAGTTGACACCATTTTTTTTTTTTTTTCAATCACGGTTTTGCAGCCCTCACTGGTTTACTTTGCGGGAATAGGATGTCAGCCTGATCATTTTGTCGGGAATACGAACAGGAGTAAGTCACCGCCTTGATGAACCCATTCCTGTTGTTAAATTTGATGAGAATAACTGAATCTAATGCAGGAGGAATGGATTCTAAATCGGGTGTATTCCTTTCTAAATCTTTCTAGAACTGAATGAAAGAAGTGCATCAAGATTTCTGCACGGAAAGACAAAGATAAACCTGCTGCCTTCACTTTATTCGCACGCAAATATTATATTACGGTGTTAATGAAAAAAAAAAAAAAAAAAACTTGACTAACCGTCATTCGGTTGCCTCGAAATAAGCATTGGTGGTTATGAAATTACAGGATCAGTGTTGATAATTACTGTATCATTTACCTCCTAGAAAGTACTTTCAGCTGCAAAAGATCATTATTTGGCGAAACTTTGTTTCATTTTGATCACAGTAAAAACGTCTTCTCAACCAATTGGACTACTTTCTGTCTGTCATAGAGGTCCTAACGGCAGTTTATTACTGACACTGTCATTGTGATATTGAAATAATATCAATTATTGATTTATTACCCTAAATTACTATCCATTTTGGCGAAGCCAAAATCAGTCAGTCACTGTCAGTTATCAGTAACAGAGCTGGTTTATTTGAAACATATAAGCTTAAAACCCCTGTAATCTAATTCTCCGAGCAGTTTGAATTATCTCTGTCATAGTTATAAATGCTTCCCCCGTATCAATATTCGCCATCAATGCTTATCCTATGTCATATTCGTTTGGGACTAGACCAATCGTGGCCCAGGTTCACATTTTTTCTGGTTCCCAATGGTGGTAGTGGAAGATTGTATATGGTGTGGTATCTATGACCTCGCAATATCTACATGCAGATATCGGTGCCCGTCTAATCAATTATTTTGCTTTACAACAAGGAGCATCCATGTTCCGTTGATAGTTGTGAAGTGTGTACACTTAGGTATAACGGTTAATTACACCCCTCCACTATTTTTTTTTCCATTGGGCCTTCTCTGTTCAGCCACTCGCTTTGCCAATTATTCAGGCCGACCTCGTGTTCTATTTGTTTTGTCACTCTTCTTCTATGGAGTCTATTACGTGCAGATGTATAGATATTGTATAGTATGTGATAGCTTGTAGTGCGTTTATTCATACCGTCCATAAATATTTCAAAATGGTTCAGATGTTTCAGTGAGTTAATATTCTACCACTCCAGAAGGAAAATGTGTCTACCCCTTTCAGCCCTTTTCCAAGGCCCTCTCAAGACGACCAACTTCATTTTTTCTCGGGATAGTTCCAGTCTTTGGTCCTTCATCTCATCCACACATTTTGCATTATCAATAAATAATTGCCAACAAAAATTGCAATTTTGAAATTAAGCTCAATTTTCAATAGTTATTATGTGCCGGATTACGAGATGGGATTTTACTCTTCAATACAAGCACATGCGCATCGATTTCGAAGTAATGTACTACTCAAATATCATTTTTCCAGAAAAGAAAAATAGTTAAAATCAACACTTAACCTACATATGGCGGTGATTGGTGGCACTTAATATACTGTGACATAAATATAGCGTTGGGAGAGAAATATAATCAACTTTCAATTATTTTGATTTTTTTTTTAAGGTTACTCGTGTACTCCTGGTAGGACTTGCGCTGAAAGTCCATGTTTTCCTGGAGTAGAATGTCGTGATTCTTCTAGAGGGTTCCAATGCGGTCCATGTCCAGGAGGTTATGAAGGCGACGGAGAAAAATGCCGTAGAAGGAACCCTTGCGAGTATAATCCTTGTGCGCCAGGTACGAATGAACCTTATACCTATTATTAATAAACATTTTGCATGATTTTGCCTTTTTTGGAAAAATAATCTCTCTGTATTCTAGGGTAAAGGTTTTTTTGTAACAAATTATTATTGTAAATATAGCAAATTTGATTCAGGAAAAAATAATTTGTTTTATTTAAACAGGTTGCGTGCCTGTGTGGAGATCCCGGACTAGACGATCCTAGATTAAAAATGGATACCTTAGGATGCAGATTTATGTTTTTTTTCTATTTTTATTTACTTTCAACACATTAACGTTTTGTAAATACTAATTACATCTAACAAAAACATTTTTCGACAGTTTTTTTTGCACTAATATACCAGAACTAGGCATTTAAGTCAGCACCATTTCTAACCGATTTCAGTATTAAATTTGTAATGTAAATTAATAAAAATGATATATTTTTATTTATTTATTTTTTATTCAATTACCCATATTTCATCATCTTTTTATAGCTTAAATTTGCTTCAAAATTGCTTTTAAAATTATAACATTCATCGCTTTTATTTCGGCCTGGTCGCTTACGTCAGGGAAGAACAATTTTTATAGTGCTGGGAGGTTGACAATGGTGAATAATGTTTAGCGTCTATTAACATTAACTTCTATGATAGATTTGGCCAGTACTTGATGAGCTGAACTGAAATATTATACGCTTGTCATGGATCAAATATTTCCCTACAAATTCAGATTTGGGTTATGGTTATCTTTTATATGAGATGAGATATTGCCAATTTTTTTGAATCATGTTTTTTTCTTTTTTATTCCTCGGTTACTTAACTTTGAAGGCAGGTAACTGGAGGAAAAATGTATTTTAGATCAAATAACCATTCATATATTTATACCCAAATGTGCAATTTATAGCGTTTCCTAACGCTTTCAGATTTTCAATCTCTATTCTCCCTGTCCTCCCACAAATTGTTCTCTAGCTGCCTTTCTGTGATTTTTTTATCTATCGCTGCTCTCCAGCTTTTTGATGGTCGTCTCCTTTTTCTCCTACCCTGTGGTGTCCAGATTACGCTTGTTTTGGGAGTTCATTTGGGTAGCTTCCAGCAATATTTTGCCTTTTTCTTTGATTTGCCATGCTTTACTGCTATAAGTCATTATACTTCCTACTATTATGTTGTATATTCGGTAAGGTCTTGAACGTTACTTTCTCCCAAATAATTTCATTAAGTGTAGCTTTTGTTTTCCTGCAAAATATTTATTTTTCCATCTTTAAGAATGGGATCTTTTTGTGGTTCTTAAAATCCATATGTTCTATTCATCATAGGCACTGATATGTTTCAAATGATGTTCGAGGCATGTATCAATTTTTTGACTGCCTGTTTAAAATTATCAAGCTCGTGGCCTGCTCCCGTGCTGTTGTTTCTATGATAATTGTATCTACTTTGGAAGATAATAGAACGTATAGAAAAATGTTCAAAAACCCAAGGTGACCTTCACGTGCTAGTTGTTTAGTGCCACATCAAGAATTCAAATATAGAAGAGCTGATACTGCCCAATTTAGATAAAACAGAAGAAAATGGTTGTGAATAACCTAGTCTGATTTCAAGTTTCCGATGTTTCCAGAAAATAGAGAAAAAAATTACCCCCTTACTATAATTATTCTTAAATTATTACAAAATTTAAAAAAGGAATTTAATTACATGTCTTTATCAATATTTTTGGAAAAAAATTTTTCTTAAATCTGATTAATTAATTGTTAGGGTAGATGAGATTCAACTTATGCATGGAGCCAGATGTTCTGAATATTCGAAAGTCCTGCAAGGGTGTCTTTGAAAAAGTAAATATCATACCAGGATTAAGCCTAAACATCAGAAACTAAAACGCACGTTATTTTTTCACAACAAAATTTAACAGGGCATTTGTTTTTTTTTTTAAATTTAAATTTGATATATACCCGAACCCTAAGAATATATTTTATTATCTCAAATTATCAGAAACAATTAAATGAGGTAGGTTCCAAACTTTACAGATAGTAAGAAGGGTCTTTTCTATGAAACTATATTTTTCTTGGCACACACGTTCGATGCTTATAATTAAAAGAAAATTGGTAAAAGGTGGTAAGCAGTTGGTTGCAAAATTTACATAGGATGAACAAACACACCGATAAAATGAAAATTTTTAAGAAATCAACAGAAGCACCAAATCTAAATGATATTTGATTAACAATAAATGATATTCGCCAATTTCTATGGAATCGTGAACGTTTTCAGCTATATGAGTATTTTAGAAAAAAAAAATTGTTCTTGCGTACGGGGACTTTTATTAAAATTAATAGTCTGAAAGCCAAATTCAATTTGAAAGTTTGACGACCCATTTGAAAAATCTTAACCATTGTTTTGAGCCGGCGCTCGTTTTCAAAATAAAAATAGTGTATAAAGTGCAAATTTTTACCAGGAACATCTTGTATGCCTATCAGCGAACCACCCTATTACCAATGTTCTGGATGTCCCGAGGGATCTACTGGGAATGGCGAACACTGTGTGGATATAGATGAAGTAAGTAACAAACATTTTATTTTTCTCCTGATTAGTTTCCTTTCATAAACCTATCATCATTACCATTATCGTCAAACAGACGCGATTGTCCACTGCTGTATACACGGTGTAACAGATTCGACTACTAGATTTTTTTACCTGAAAATATGTCCCATTCTGAAAAAAAAAACGTCTGATTAACTATGGGTCAATTTTTAGTATTTTCGGCAATATCGCAAAATTTCAGTTTACGAAAATGTTTTCAATGTGATTACGGTGTACACATACATATTTCATTCATCAGAACTACATGCAGCGTAAAAAATCTGAACAAATTATATCTAAATTTATTTTTTCTACGAGCGTGTGGGAAATGGCTCTTCCCGAAATATTTTTTGTGTGGGAAGACATTTTTCTCGCTCTAGTGCGGCAAGATTTTTATAATAAAATATCAAACATGAAACAGGAAATTCCGCAAGATATTTTGCATTCTGCTAATGTAACTACTTTAGAAATTTTCTCATCACCTTTAGTAGGTACGCTCTTAGAAAAAATATAGTTTGCGGGAAGAAATTTCCTGCTCTCGGGTGCTACACACCCTCTTGCCAAAAATTTTTCTTTCCGCAATTGTTAGGAGAATAGCTATATGATAGATTACCAGCTCTTAGATTTCTTTACCCTACTGATAAAACCCAGAAAGGTCGAAAGCTATAATGGGATCAATTCCAATATCCAAAAGTGATGTTCACTTGGATAATCTAGACCCGATTGAGACTTAGTTTACCTGCAGCTTAGATTTCAGCAATGGAAAATTTTACAAAGCTCGAGAAAATTCGCGAGCCTGAGAGCTGGTAATCTATCATAAATATATTTGATATTTTAGTAGTTCAGAAAGTGATTCTATGAAATAGGGCACAAAGTCTGTAACAGTGTTATGTTTGTGATTTACTATAGGTTTCAAATAAAACAACCGTGTTTTAATGCTATTTTATTTACACTCATTTTCTTATATCTAGCCTCATTTACATGCACGCTTTCCACTTGCGGTAACCTGTTGACGGCTGTCAACTTCTAACTGTGTTGCCAGTTGTTAGGAATCACTTGCTAAAGGTCTGATCACACTACACCTCCCTTCTTTTATTAGAAAGCACTGTTTACAAGATTTTATTTACCATACACTATTTTTAATTCAACCCATTTACAAGTTTTTACTTAACGAACAATACACTATTTTCAATTTAACATATTTACAAGTTTTTACTTAACGAACAATTAGCTACATATTTTACATAACGTACTCATTCAAATGCTTGGGTTGATTTACACTACGCCTAAGTCTATTGTTAGTTTTATCTACAAAAGTCATTTCTGGCAGTGGCTTAACAATGTTAGAGTCTTTCATGAGAAACTTGCGATAGCGTTCTATAACACTACCATTATCAAGTTTAACATTATAAGCTCTTGGTTTATCGGACTTTTTAATGACCTTACCAGATTGCCAAGCTGTCTTTTCCTGATTCTGAACTCTTGGGAGGGTGACACACTGGAGAAATAAGTTTCATGAAACTTGTTGGAAGAAACAGGAAATTTGTTTCATTATCACACGACACATACATTCAAATAAGGCGGCGCACACTGGCGTTTCTGAAACAGGAGAGCAAAAATTGTTTCGCCAGTGTGCGCCGCCTTATTTTAATATATGTGTCGTGTGATAATGAAACAAATTTCCTGTTTCTTTCAACAAGTTTCATGAAACTTATTTCTCCAGTGTGTCATCCGCTTTTATTTTTTCCCCTACATTGAACTCCTTAAGAACTTTAGAACCATTATCATAAAAGCTTTTTTGTTTTCCTTGCCTTTCCTTAAGACCATTTCTTACTTTATTTTCCTCTTTTTTGAACAAATTAACTTTAGGAATTAGTCCATTGATTTCTCTATTGAACTGTAAAAATGCTGGAGATGGAATATTATTATCTATTGCAGTTGATCTATATTCTAGCAGACAAAGGTAAGGATCTTTAATGTCCTAATTAAATTTTTTCATCCGATTTTCAAAAGATTGTATAGCTCGCTCTACGATGCCATTAGATTGAGCAAAAGTTGAACTTGAAGAAATGTGTTTGATTTCCAAATCCCTAGAAAAGTTTTTGAGAGTTTCTGAACTATAGTTAGTTCCCTTATCTGATCTTAAGAGAGATGGTTTCCCATGAGAAGCGTAGCAGAAATTGATTTCAGAGCATTATCTGTATAAATACTATCTAATTTATTTGGTGGTCTAGTTTCAATAAATTTTGAATAGTAGTCGCGCGATAACAATGATATAATTTTTTCCCTTAAACTGACATACATCAGTTCCTAGACAGTCCCAAAGCTTATCAGGTACTTCAGAAGGAATAAGAGGTTCCTTAGCATTTGAATTTCTGAAATTAAAACATGTATGACAATTATTCACAAATTCTTCTATCTCCAAATTGATCTTCGGCCAAAATAAAGCCTTTTTTGCCCTAAGTTGATATTTTACAATACCTAAGTGATTGTAGTGGAATAAATCAAGCATTTCTTTCCTTGAAGCTGTTGGTAGGTACAATAACTTCATTACCCTTAAACAACGCATCATTAACACTACGTAATAATTTCATCTCTATGAATTCAATACTTTTGTAATTCATCATTTAATTTATCTTTATTTTCCGGCCAACCCTGTGTTACTAGTTTCAAAAGATCAACTAAAACCTCATCCCTCAGCGTCTCTGCTTGAAAAACTTTAAATTTGTCATTTGACATTGGAAGGATTTTTTCAAATAATTGAATAAGTGCCTCAATTTCATTTATAGTCAACTTGTCAACCTTGGTAATATTGTCCTTAAGAAAGTTACGAGATAAATAATCTACAGTTACTAAATCGGTACCTTTCTTTATAAACAATTTCAATATCATACACTTGTAATTTGATTACGATTCTTTGGAGACGTAACGTGTGAGTTAAATGAAGTTTTTTTTGTGAATAGAGGCTAGTGGTTTATGGTCACTTACTACCACAATTCTTTTTCCATAAATATATTGGTGGTACCTGATACATCCCAAAAAAAAAACGCGGCCAATTCCTTCTCAATTTGAGCATAACCTTTTTCTGTCTCGGATAAAGCTCTAGAGCTATGAATTACTGGTAAAATTATCTTGCAAAAGAAAAGCACCCAGGCCATTTTGGGATGCATTCACAGATACCACTATCGGTTTATTTTGATCGAAATATTTTAGCCTGGAGTCGAAATCAAAGCTTGCTTAATTTTATTAAAAGCTGAAGTGTGATTTTCATCCCACTGAAACAGATATTTTTTTATTTAAAAGTTGCCTCAACAACTTGTTTTTTTCAGGAAGTCCTTTTACAAATTTTGATACATAAGTTACGAAACCTAAAAAAATTTCAATATCTTTTTTTGATTGAGGAATGGGTAGGTATCTTTAAGATACTTTTAATTTTATCTTGATCGACTTTGACTAATTAAATTTGCATTTATCTTTATTAAATTTAATATTAGCTTCTCGAGCTCTTTCTAACACTTTTTTCATGAGACACTTGGTCTTTCCCAAAAACAAGCAAATATATACATAAATTGCCAGGTATGTTTTCAAAGATTTGATTGAAATGTTTATAAAAAATTTCTAGTGCTGTCTGAACTGATACCAAAAGGTAGTCTTTTAAAAACATATCTACCAAAAGGGCTTGAAAATGTACACATTGTACTGCTTTCATCAGCCAATGGTATTTGGTAAAAACCCATGTTATCATCTAGTATGCTGAGTGTTCAGCAGTGGTAGCACCTGCCAGTTCAGCTAACAGGTCCTCAATTGTTTTGCATTTGAAAAAACTTTCTCTTAATAATTACTTTATTTAATTCACGAGGGTCAATACAAACTCGAATTTTACCTGTGGGTTTTTTACCAACTACCAAAGGGTGGCACCAATCAGTTGGTCATCTGTTGTCCATCTATTTTCTATGAAGCCATACTGCCTATCAGAGAGGGTCTCCTTCAAATTTAGGTCCTCACCAAGCCTGGCTCGATTCACGTATTCCAATAGTTTGGCCGGTAAATTCAAAAGACAGATAGGTCTGCATTTACCGTTCTCGGTGTGGCTCTGGTTTAGGCTTCTCGATCAAAACCAGCTTGGAGCGTTTCCACTCTACCGGAAACTCTCCCATTTTCAACATTTGATTAAAGGCCGGAGAGAACATAATATCTGGTTTTTTGAGAACTGCGTGTTGTAGAATCTCTGCTGGGATTCCATCCAGGCCAGGAGCTTTTTTCATTTTCAGCCTCCTAACTACTTCAATGAGTTCATTCACCGTGAGTTCGGGAACTATGTTGTCATTTAGTTGGACGTCATTTTTAGTTATTTTATTCCTTGTAGGAAAAAGTTGGTTGGCTACTTCAACCATCCTTTCCATGGTGAGGACACGCCCTTCTGTTCTAAGTATGAGTCTTCTCGAAATTATTTTGTATGCCTCTCCCCAGCAGTTCTCATCGATGTCTTCGCATAGTTTGCGCCAGCATGATCTTTTCTCTTTCTCAATGGAAGCCTTAAGATGTTTCTTTCTGTTAGCCCTGTTTAACTTTATCCTGCTCGCAAGGCATCGTGTCCTCAGGTCAGCGATCGTCTTCGTCCACCAGTATACCGGCTTTCGATTGCCAGGTGATCCAGTCTCTTTGGGCATTGCGGCATTGCATATATCCGTGAGCACCCCTGTGATATCTTGTGACGTTGTTACGTTTGCGGTTGCATTTATTTCGTTAGGAGTTTGCTCTAGTTTGGTTTGATCCAATTGGCGGACATTCCACCCTTCCTTTCATTCAGCTGTATTGGAGTTTGCTGGTTTGTCAGCGACTTCAAAGTAGATATATCTATGATCGCTTAAGGTTTCTCTGTCTAGGACTTGCCAGTTTTTAATTTTTTTACTAAGGTTTTCGCTTACAATTGTCAACAATGGAAATTTGCTCAGAAACTGCTCGAAACAACTTGTTACCATTTTTGGGATTTGTAGAACTTGTGAGCTAAAATAAACTAGCTTTAGGAAGATTAGGTAAATTTTCGTGGTTTGTTTCTACGGTAATTGAGAAGAACGATGAGGTCCTCTGTGCCGTTTGTTTCATTATGTACACCCATTCTTTAACCTAGTGCTTGCTAGCTAGATTTCAACAGCTCTAAGATCAAAACGAATCTATACATTCTAGTGTGACTTGATCCATCCCTGTGACCCCAACGTAGAATGCACCAACCTTCAACCAGGATATCGGTGTGGAGCCTGTCCAGCAGGATTCACTGGCAGCTATGGAGTCCAAGGAGTAGGAGTCGAGGATGCTTCCCGAAACAGACAAACTTGTACCGATATAGATGAATGCGCTCAAGGAAGAGTATGTGTTGAGCATTCTAGATGTGTCAATAGTTTGGTAATTAGAAAAAATTCATTACTAGGCTTTTTTAATTCTCACATATTTTTTTCAGGGTTCTTACGAATGTAGTTCATGTGATTATGGTTACTTTGGCAACCAATCCGTCGGGTGTCGCCAACAGGAAGGATTTTGCCCTAATGGCATTCAGTGCCATCAAAATGCTAGATGTGTGAGTTTAGGGTGGGATCATTACATTTGTCAATGCATTACTGGATGGGCTGGTAATGGGGAAATTTGTGGTCCTGATACTGACATAGATAGCTGGCCTGATATGCAATTACCATGCAGAGACGAGCATTGCAAACAGGATAATTGTCCAAATATACCAAATTCTGGACAAGAGGACGCCGACGGGGATGGAATTGGAAACGTTTGCGATCCTGATCCTGATGGCGATGGAATATCTTTTGATGTAACACTAGTTTTTGGAGTGAAATTAATTTTTTCATTCAAATAATTTTTCTAGGATAATTGTCCTTATCACAAAAACCCAGATCAAAGAGACTCGGAACGCGACCCAGATAAAATTGGCGACCTTTGCGACAATTGTCCTTATGTGCCAAATCCTGATCAATCAGATATCGACAATGACGGCCTTGGGGACGCATGTGACCCAGATATAGATAACGATGACATAATGAACGAACGTGACAATTGTCCAAAAAAGGCCAATATAGATCAACGGGACAATGACGGTGATGGAGTTGGGGATGTTTGCGATAATTGTCCGAATATTTATAATCCGGGCCAAGAGGATTCTGATGATGATTTTGTGGGAGATGTGTGTGATAGTCCTGACGATATAGACCAGTAAGAGTTTTACTTTTTATTAATGATTTAATTAATTTTTGCTCCAAAAAATTAACCAACTCGTGTTGGTGATTTCGCAGTCCTACTACTATCGCCTGCCTAAAGGGCATGGTCGATCGCAAGCGACTCTCTCAAAATTCTGCTACAAGACGAAATTCACAGAAATCTCGCACGCACGTTGGTATATTTTTTGGCGGTTCGCTAAATTTCCATGTGTAATAGCGAGAAGGCAAATAAATTGTTTTTTATTCAAATTTAGTGATGGTATAAGTGACAATGTAGACAATTGCCGTCACAAACCCAACCCAGATCAAAGAGATAGTGATAGAGATGGAAAAGGCGATGCTTGTGACAATGATATAGACGGCGACAGCATCGTTAACGAGATTGATAATTGCATTTATATTTATAATCCTGATCAAGCTGATCGTGACCGTAAGTAACCTTGTTTTTTGACATTTCTTAACTAAAAATGGAAAATTTCTCATGCAAACCGGCGGCGCATTTGGAAAATTGTTGTTGAAATTTAAATATGTCATATGGAGAATAAACATAAAAACTATTCTATTCAGGTAATGGAATTGGGGACATATGTCAAAAAAACTACGACGGTGACGCCATTGACAACATCTATGATAATTGTCCCAACAATTCCCTAATTTACAGGACCGACTTTAGTAAATTCCAAACTGTAGTCCTCGACCCCGAAGGAGATTCTCAAATAGATCCTAATTGGGAAATCTATAACCATGGCGCAGAAATTGTACAAACAATGAACAGCGATCCAGGGTTGGCTGTAGGCCATGATGTATTAGAAGGCGTAGATTTTGAAGGAACATTTTTCGTTGACACTGATATTGATGACGATTATGTAGGCTTTATATTCAGCTATCAAGACAATCGAAATTTCTATACAGTGATGTGGAAAAAGAATCAACAAACCTATTGGCAGCCTACACCATTTCGGGCTGTAGCAGAACCAGGAATTCAAGTGAAACTCGTTCAATCGGAAACTGGCCCTGGAACATTTTTACGTAATTCTTTATGGCATACTGGAGACACCAAAAACCAAGTGAAACTTTTGTGGATTGATCCGAGAAATGTCGGCTGGAAAGAGAGGACTTCTTACAGATGGTTTTTGATACACAGACCAAAAATTGGTCTTATAAGGCTGAAGATTTTCGAAGGGGAGCATATGGTCGCTGATTCAGGAAATCTTTTTAACGATAGACTTCGAGGTGGACGATTGGGGGTGTTGTGCTTTTCACAGGAGCAAATAATTTGGTCGGATTTGGCTTATAGATGCAATGGTTTGTTTTGGATTCTTGTAGATATTATCTTTCACTAAAGACCTATTTTTAGATAACCTTCGAGAAGAAATTTGGAGAGAATTACCGGAAAAATTGCGCAGAAAAATAAGCATTGACGATACAATTTATCAGCATATACAAGACCCGAATCCAAATGTCTAAATTCGAATAATTTTTTAGAAGGTTTTTGTTACTAATTTTGTTTAACATTTTTTTACTTACTCTGTGTTTAATAAAATCAAATGTGAAAAAATTTGAAATTTAATCGTGATAAATCCAAATTATGGATTCCATAGGAGCATACGATTTTACTTCTAGGCTTATTTCACAATTTCATTACTCGGAAGAATGAGAAAAATAGAAGATCTACAAAGATTCAGAATTGTATTCACGCTATAGGTAGTTCCCTGAAAATAATTTCCAAACTCTGCCATGCGAGAAATTTTTGTTCTGGCGGTAAGGGGTGTTCCTTAATATCCTGTCGTTATTGAAGGAGGTAATTCTTTGGCTTATTTATGACTAAAAGCTCATATAAAAATGTACCTACTGGGTTTGAAGCAGAATCACATGTAATTATAACAAACAGCCAAGCAAAATTATCCAATGCAAGACCTTTCTCACAGGATAGGCAACCAGAAAAATAGCGGGGTGCTGTTGCCACCTCGATGATAATGTACCTATGTATTTTAATTTATGTGTTTATTATCCAAGGAGTTTTTCTCTCATAGTGAACATTTGTAAATGGTGGCGAATATCCATCAACATTCTAGGGAAAACTGATAAAATAACTAGATTTTTTTACCGACTAAGTTTATTTTCAAATTTATTGTAAAAACAAAAACAAAATGACCATAGAGAAAAACATTTTCACGCAGAAAACCATTGGCAGTATCTTAAATAAAATTATTACTAAAACATTAAACAAAAACTTGGTCCCAAATAAGTAATAATAATAATACTCGATACACTTTCTATAATACGGTACCTATAAGTTCAAAAATATCAGTATTTATTTTTTGTTATTTGGGCAATAACACTAGAATCTAAACTTATGTTTTCATTCGAATACACATCAATAAACTACGTACATTTTCTTTAAGAAATTCAAATACGGCAGGTATTTCCAATTCTGACTAAATTTAACGAGCCCTCCAGACAATTATTCACTTATTTTACTAGCACGTTTAATTAGACTAGAATTATGATATTTACAAATGAATTGATATCGTTTAAATATATTTTCGTTTCAATTGTACGTACAGCTTTCAAGACCAAAACTTTACAAAATCCGATAGGAAGAAAGAATCTCGAAAGACTTAATTCCTTAAATTTGTTTTTTGGTTGGGAATAATAATAATTATTGATACATTTCCCCCTCGTTTCAATAAATATTTGCCAAACAGTGTGATTTTTTTTGATTTTTTTCAATGAAATGATAGAGCGTCAATCTTTTGAACGAAAAGCCGTTTGGAATATATTTGATGAAAAGCATTTTTCAAGATGGTCGATAGCACATAGATGCGCCAATTGGGATTTAACACTGGGAGAGATCCATTTATCTCATCCAACCAAAAAATATTCACGAAATAAGTACAGAAATGAACAACCAGCTGTTTTGTTCGAATATTCAGGATTTTCAGTAGTTTCGAACTTTTAGGACGGCGCTGCGACAGATGTTTTCAATCGCGCAATGCGACATCAGGAAAACGCAGTGATGCCGACTGAGCGTGCGAAGTTTCGAAAATTCAAATATTTTTGTCCAATTTGGAACAAGAGTAGGTCCTATTTTAGTTGCCATTAATGCCTAAAACCCAAAGTTATATACAAGTATTCCTACCGTATAAGTATATAAATTAATTATTTATTTCTTTGTAACATTAATAGGGAGTTTTCGTTGCTTACAAAATGCGATTCCGGTTAACGCTATTTGACAACTTTGACATTCGAATCTTGTTTGTTGTATATCGTAATCGCTAAATGCCGGTATTGTACGGACGGTAGACACACAGCCGTTAACGGAGCAAAACGCATGCGCAGTACACAAATAAAAAAAAATCATAACCTTAATTCAAGTGACAAGTTGTCAAGTTGACCCAAAAGTTCCCAAAAATGGGTTCCAATACAAACTCATGTAGTGTATTGATAATAATAAAAAGAAGCAGAGTTTGTTTTACACAGGAAGGTGACACATTTCACTAACTTTACTAACCAACTTTATGTGGAATCTCTATTGTTCGGAATTCTGAGTACTTCTACAAATCTCGAGATATGTTTTTTTTTCGAGGCGAAAATTAACTTTACACTCGTTTTCTGACCACAAATCTAGGTTGAACCTCCCTAAAAGATCGCCTCTGTATTTTATGTTGTTTTCCCTCACTTCCAACAAGATTGCCTCTTCAAAGTCAGAATCTGAATCATCCCTGGAGTCCAATAAAATTAATTCGTCCATCAGTTTGTAGGAAAATGTACAGAAAAATAGTAGTAAAATAAATCTATATGATAACCAAACAGAAAAAAGAAATGCAAAAAACACATTAAAACAAGGCTGAGGGCTAAGTACTCTGTCAATTTCACTCGACTTTTTGCTGGGGTTAGAGTTATAGTTTACGGTAACGGTAAGCGGGTCTCGTTTCTTGCTGCGAAAACTGTTTTTTTTATCTGTCGAATAGCGGCTATGGCTACGTATTTGTTAACCGTAGCGTTGAAATATTCAAGAGCAACGAAAACTCCCTATTATCAAACTCATTTCGGCCATTTCAGCTAAAATTTGATTTTGGTTCAACTGGACCGAAAATTAGGTTTTTAGTAAAAAGCTCTTACCAAAGATGCCTGAAAAATGTGCTGTTGATTACAGATGGTCTAACCCATAATTAAATTATAGAATTTGTAACTCAATTTTGGCGGGAAATAATTAATTAACTCTTTGCGAAATACCACAGAAATTCATGATACCAACCTATACGTACAATGTATTTAATATTGTCAGATGGCTATATTATAGGATAGGATTTGAACTTCAATAGGATATTCTAGTGAAAATTTGGTTGTGTACCTATTCAAAATTAAAAGCTGGTTTCTATTTGTTTTAGAAATGAGTGTACATTACAAAAAGTAGGTATTTAGCATTTAATAACTAATTGAATAATTGAAATGAAAAATCGGAAAAAGTTAAAAAGCCAGACCGCTCAAACATTTTTTTCAATATCAGTTAACTCAACAGACGCCGAGTGAGTTTGGCACTGGGTACTGTTTCCAATCTTGGTTGCGGTACAATGCGGCTTAACTCAACAAGTTTCTGATTAAACGGTTACGCAGAAACGGTAGTACCTGAAAAATGCATATAGCATAAGTAACCATTGATTACAGATTACGATTTTTCATTGGAAAATGATCTTTCTAGTTTTTTTTCAGGAAGTACTGTTAACCAATTTTGGAAACAGTAAACGATCAAAGTTTGACAGAGAAGAGTGAATCAGTACATTAAGTGAAGCCATTTTATTAGGAAGAAGCTATCTTGTGGGATTCTCTTGAAGAAGTAATACATTCTCGACAATACCTACATATCCAAAAAATATATTTCAACTAATAATTATCAAGCCTCGGAGCATGTTTATCAAAAATTACAAGTCGAAATATATTAAAAAACATTATATATGTTGATCAGCAGTTTTGGTCATTTCCGTCAACTCATGAGGCTCGGCGTTTAATCTATCCTTAGTGTTGATCGTTTCTCCTCCCAGCTCTCCCACGCTGAGCAGATCTACAAGCTTGGCCCCTAGGCAGTCGCACATTACGTTTATGGTGGTGCGAAAACGATCCCTAGTCAATTCAATAATTAATCTTGCCTTTATCAATCTTAATTAAAAATACTTACAGTAGCCAATCAACAGCGATAATATTAATGACGGCATCGGCTGGTAAACCAACAGTATCCAGAACCATAACCATTGTAACCAACCCTGCTTGTGGAATTCCTGCAGCTCCAATACTTGCGGCTGTAGCTGTAAGGCTACAGACAAAAAATATAACTAATTCAAAAGAGAAGGTCAAAGTCTTCCTCCACAAAAACGTTATTCGTTTTAAACGGTCCCACATGTTTCGAGATTAGTAAATTCCATCATCAGAGATAATAAATAAGCTCATATATTAACAGGGTTGGATATCAAAGGTTGTCAGATCATGCATTTTGTAGAGGAAAAAAAGATCAAAAATAAGTTAAGACTTTACTGTGTCATATTAATTGAGAAAGGTAAAACTAGATATAGGTTCCATGTAAATAGCTGTATTAAGTTTTAAATAAATTTCATTGAAAAACTTTTGTAAAATCATTTAGTGTTTTCAATGAAATTTATTTAAAACTTATTAAAGCTATTTACATGGAACCTGAATATAGTTTTACCTTTTTCAATTAATATGCCACAGTACATTTTTAACTTATTTTTGATCATTTTTTCCTCTACAAAATGCATGATCTGGCATCCTATGATATCCGACCCTGTTAATATATGAGCTTATTTATTGCCCCTGATGATAGGATTTACTAATCTCAAAACATGTAGGTCTATTTAATTTACGTAAAAGTGAAGGAATATCATCGCCAAAATAATTAGTAATAAGTGAACTATCCTTGTTAGGTAAATATTCTCTAAAAAAAACAATTAATGTTCAATCCTTTTTTCTTTTTTCAGGATACTTTTAAAGTTCTTATAAGATAAACCGTTTTTGCGCTACTATGGAATATTGCCCATTCGATTTTTGTTGTCGATAACCTGACTATCCCAACATTTTTTGAAAGTCTTCCTGCCAATGCTCTTCCCTTCGAATAGGATATTTTCCAAGATTGTTTGAGAGGAAGCAGCTACCTCAAAAATTTGGCAGATCACAAAGGTATTGAGGAAAACCATCTATTTTAAATATTATTTCTTCAAATCTTAATTTTTCTAAAAAACGTTTACTGAATAAAAGTAAAATGTTGCAACCATGTATGCGCCGCGTTCGAGCCACAAGAAACGGTACTGCGAACGGGAGCTAGAGAAGAGGCGTTGAGGCATTAGACTAGAAAAGAAGCTAGACTGTTCCTTTAGACGCGTGTCTGTAATTATTCATTATTCAATTTTCATTAAAATTGATTTTTCAATCCAATTTGTTATTAGTGTGTGTGTCAGGAGCGTTCACAGGTTAATGGATTAAATGTTATTTTGTTTTTGAGAGTTCAATTTATGCAAGTTCCTATTGTTTTGTTCATTTTTATGTATTTTTTGTTTGTTTATAACATGTTTTATAACATGTGCATGGTTCATGTATTTAACAAAAATCGTTTCATGCTGTAAACCAACCGATAAAGAAGTAAATTAAAACCTAAGAAATTATGTGCTGTCTTTTTGTGCTGAGATTTTGATTTTGTGTATTTAGAACGTGCATTAGGGCCTTGTTAAATTTACTAACATTTTCCTACTCTGACGAGAGAATATCCTAACAAATTGAAATAATCAATCTAGAGATATTGGCTCAAAAACAACTATAGCTGAGTAGCTTCCCGTATGGGACCTCAGTATCCGCTGGGAAACTGGCTAACTAACAAAAAAAAAACTCTTGAATATAGGAAGTGTTGATTGAATGTAGTATGTGTTATTAAAATTTTAGCACAAGAACAGGGACGGTACCTAATTTAAACTTTCATTGACTTGATTTATTGAATTATTGACTCACAATTATTATTAAAATGACACAGTATGTTTCGATTTTTGAGGGATGTTAGATCGAGGGTTTCTCTGCCGTTCTCTTTCCCCTCGAGAATTCCAGGTCGAGAATGGTACGATTTACTTTAATAATAAAGTAGACGTTTCACAAATTTTTCGTTTTTTGAACATATCACAACTTCCCTTAAATTTCCCAAATATTTGCTATGTCGGGCGCATGTCCAGTCAGTAAAATTGAGTAAGTTTCCACAACGTAGGTCCTATTTGTTTCTCATTTCGTTTTCCAGAAGATTTGTTGTTTAAATTTTAATAAAAAGTCTCATCGTTCAATCTTACTGAACGAACCCGGGGTATGTTATACTACAGTATTTGTTCAGAGAATTGTTAAAATTATCAATATCAAAAAAATCTTTGGAATGACAAAAGTGTTTAACCAAAGCTCCAACTCACTGCTTATGCTCATACGATGAGTTGTATTGCTCTGACATTCAGATTTACGCAATACGTGTGGTTTATTTGCTTTATTAGACAATGGAGAAACCCGAATTCTTGATCATTGGGTATTGGCGCTGATTGCAGATCGGTTTGGAGCTTGTAAGTTCTCGTGAGTGCAACATGAGCAAAAGCATACGTCAACTCAGATAAACATGTTTTAAGCAGATTCACACGATAAGAAAGATATAGGCCTTTAATAGCTTGTAGCAGTACAACTCATCGTATGAGTATAAGCAGTGCTATCAAAATTTTAGGTGAAAGACTGGAATAATGCCTAGGTTGAGCAAAGGTGCTAGACTTAGTATGGAGATGTATCAACCCATAATCCTATCTAATCGATATCAATAGACTATCCAACAAATTTGACAACTAGGTACCAACGGCTTTTGCAAGTGGTATGGCACTTTGTAGCTTTCATTGACTACAATAAAGCTTTTGACGTCGAACTTTGGGTCATGTTTCAAGCGATAGATAACGCGAGAATAGATAGTAGTAGATACAAAAACCTAATTGAAAACATTTATGACAGAGCAACATGGCAAATAAAACTAGAGAAGGACTTACCAACGGATTAATTGATTGCCCGGCTCATTGGTTCGCAGTAGAGAGGTAAAAACGACCTATCTGCGGCCAAGCAATATTGGGCCTGGTTGCAAGTTGGATGGGTGACCGCCGTGTCACTCGATGCACAAGCCAAGTTAAAGGGGGTGTGCGCCAAAAATTAAAGTTTTAGTGTAAAAAAATCTAAGAATAACTGTTCAAACCTCGTTATTCTACGATAAACCATCGCTGAGATATACCGCTTTAAAGTGTGGACGACGCTCTCGTGACGTCACGAAAACTTCGTCCAGCGAGCTCTGCATTGTTAATTTGATTGTTCCCGGCACGCGTGAGTGGTTTTTGTTTAGATTATTGCAGGTTACACAGGAAAAACATTATGTAAATTGAATTAAATCCACTTTCTCGTGCGTCGCTTGAGCTTTCGTGACGTCATAGTGTGAGATGCGGTACCTTCATAGAACCATATCTGCGGTATTATTTGTCATAGAGGGGTGCGGATTTCACTGTTATTCTTAGATTTTTTTTCTCTTTTTTTTTGAGATGAAGTTGTTTTTTTGGCGCACACCCCCTTTAAAGGGAATCTCACCAGTCATGGCGCATCAGGGCACCGCTAGCGTTGGTCGACCGCCCAACTTGCAGACTGAATGAGGAGGAGTAGGGCATGTGCAAGGATACACAATAAATCTTTAAGGCTGCAGTGCTGAGCATATGCCTGAAAGAATGGACAAAATCAATCAATCATCAACAGATAAGTTTTATGTCCATAGAAGACTTAGTAAGAAAGACGCCATATCTACGAAGCTCTTCACACTGGCGTTAGAGGATGCCTTTAAACAGCTCAACTGGATCCACAGGGACATTAACATCGACGGTTGATATTTAAACGGGCTCTGCTTTGCGGATGACATCGACTTGATTAGTAGCGTCTCAACAGGAAGGAAATGACCTTAGATGTAAAACTAGCTTTGGAAATAGCGAGCCTAACAATGAACGTAGCAAAGACCTAGATTTCAACCAACGATATAAACCCAATAATTACCTATAGGAAACAGAACGATCGGTAGAGTAAACGAGTATGTATTCCTCGGACATACAATAAAACTGGGAATAGAAAGTCAACAAGCAGAAATTGGAAGAAGAAAACAGTAACATTAAAAAAACATATATCTGCATCAACCCAAAAACCAGTATAACAGGTTCTACCGATTTTAACATAGGGATTAGAAACAACTACATTTACAATTAGATCAGCAAATAAACTACAAGCTCTAGAGGCTTATGCTTGGAGTGCTATGAAGAAAAGCGCCGATAATCGACGGTGGAACACGTGAGCACTGAGCACTGCCCACAGCCAACAGCGATGCTGAAATGGGCCTGGGCCGGTCATATTAGTAGATAAGACCAAGACGATACAAGGTGGACGAGGCGCATAGCACTATGAAGACTAAAGAAATCGCAAATTTCACATATACGCTCTGCACTGTAACGGGAATCTCACCTGCTAAAGGCAGTTTTGAAAACTAGCCATGTAAATGAAGTGGAATGGATCAAGTAGCTTTTCATGTCCTATGCGAGTTTGGCAACGAGTTGTCGTAACCGCATAATAAATGGGAAAATGCTTACGGGATAAGGCTCTCGAAATTAGCCAAAATATTCCTGAGGCAAAACAAACTGACTATGCAGCTGTTGTAGGCACCTTAGAGCTGAGGTATGGAAACAGATATCTTCGTCAAGTGTATCAGTGGTAGCTGGAGCGTAGAGTGCAAGATTCATCGAAGACACTGCAGGGGTTTAACAGGGAAATAGAGGTAGTATTCAGCTTGGCAAGCTCCAGAAGAATTATTTGAACAAATAAACGTCCAGTGCCTTATTGATGAAGTACGAGATACGGACCTACAGAACGAAGAATGAGTAGATAAAACCGTAAAAACCGTTGTTCATGCACTCGAGTATTCAGGTGTCATAAACGCCACGCAAAATAGAAGTCGCAAAATTAGGGAAGTCATGACGTTATCCAAAGAGAGTCCATACACCAATGCATACATATTTTAAAAGCTAGAGGCAATAGTGCAGAAGATCTGCGTGGAAGAATACGCGGCTAAAGATCTAGAAGTGCAACAATGTCTCTCAGCTGCGACATAGAACATATGAGAAGAAATTATAAGTGACATTCTCGTTCAGAACTTAGGTGGGTCGAGATATCAGGGAAAAGTGACCACTGATTTCCAAGAGTGGTTATGAATGTCTCATTGCACAAAGCACCCCTAAGAGCAAGAAATGTAATATAACTATCGACCCGGGGGATCAAGATCAGTAGTATGCCCCGACGTGGGTTCTACGGACTTTGTGATGTTGTTGGAATGTAAACCGCTACTAGAAACAGCTGGAGGATATTTGATATCCGTTTTTGGAAAGACCATTGTGGGGAGCATGGGGATAGGCAGGCAACGGCCACATCATAATGACCTGCCAGTTCTCGTCCGATAACTGAAGTCAAGCAATGAGTAGTGTAGTAAGTACTTGGATGGGTGAATGCTTGGAAACACCATCGATGTTGTTGACTGGAAGAGAAAACTAACTTCCCGTAGGTATGATGTTTAGGAGATCCTAAGCCGATGAATATACGGCTATACTCCTAGTTTACGTGCTATATATGCAGGATAGGCTCAGAGTAGTTCATGACTCGCGACAGAATGAAAATGAGACTCGACACGCGGCAGCCACTGAACACTCCTAATAAACGCGACGCTGTCTGGTTGTATCAGCGACAGCAAAGGAATAAGGATGATAATTTAGAAAAGTTTCACATGTAGAAAGACTGGTCCCGTACAAAGGCGAGAATACACCGCATAGGATGCGATCAGTAGAAGCTCTTCAATACGAACAGCTTCAAGGAATTGGGCACTGTTATGAATCTCTCAAGTCGAGAAGATTGTACACAATCTTGCAACACTGTCTGTTGACTAGAAAATTCGTGAATGTAATTTTGCCACGCCAGCGAATTCGAAATTAAGGGAAGCGAATTTACTAGGCAATTCTAAAAGCAGGAAAGCGGTATAAAACAGAGTCGGCCACCAAGGGAAAAATCAGCGAACAAGACGCCAGTATGTATTAAGAATCAGTTAGTGGTAAATTAAACGCGAATGAGTTAATAATCAGATTATAATTTCTGGAACGCAAGTCGAAAGTAGGACAGGGAGTTGTGATTAGGTTTTGTGACTAGTTAAGCTTGATTGTAGAAACGCGAGGTTTGAAGTGTTGCTAGTTTCGTCGGGATTTTTGTAATATTGCCTTGAATACAGGTGAACTAATTTTAGAACAAAAGTCTTACCCATCTGCAAAACCGCATAGGTATTCGTAACAACATTAGTTTCTGAATTTGTGTGTAAAACTATTGATTTTTAGAATAAGGCAGGTATGACACAGAAAACAAGAAAAGTCCAGACACCCACTATAGGTACAGTGAGAATCATTGCAATTGGCACACATTATACAGGGTGTGCATTTTAAAACTTACCAGCTCTATTATATCGGAGTTGAAAAATTTTCGAAAAAATCCCTGAAACACATCAACTATAATTTGAGGACGGATGAGTTTTTATGCAAAATTCACCTCCCCCCTTTTAACCCCCCAGCTTTCAGAGCCACGCCCTAGAAAATCCTAAATGGGAAGGGGGGTCAAGTGATACATCATTTTGGAGGGTTTTTAATTCCATACATTTTGGTACTAAATTTCCATACCTAAGTTCAACTGTTTTGGCAATATTGACAGTTGAAAATTGACTTTTTTGCAACTTATTGACATGATTGAAAATTCAAAATAGGTTTAATCTTCGGGTAAATTCAAAGTTGGTGTCAAATGATATTTTGTGAAAATTAAGTTTACATTCTCAAGCTTTCATTCTTAAGCTTAATTTTCCTCTAAAACTAACCGTTTAGGTTTTACAGCCTGTCAAAGTTCCAAAAAAGTCAATTTTCAGCTGTCAATATTTCCAAAAGACTTGAACTTCGGTATTGAAATTTTGTACCAAAATGTACGGAATTAAAAACCCTCCAAAATGATGTATCACTTGACCCCCCTTCCCATTTAAGATTTTCTAGGGGGTAGCTCTGGGGGCTGGAGGGTTGGAAGGGGGGAGGTGGTTGCATAAAAACTCATCCCCCCTTAAATTATAGATGACGTGTTCCAGGGATTTTTTCGAAAACTTTCAACTCCGAGATAATAGAGGTGGTAAGTTTCAAAATGAACACCCTGTATAAAAGTCCCCCGTAATGTGTCGAAATTTTACTTCTATGACACACAGGTAATGTCAAAATCATCAGATGGATGAATCAGTGTTAATAAAGTGTTGAAGGAAAAATAAATGTGTACACCACTGCACTAAATAGATTTATTGGTTAGAATGTCTTAATACGAGGGATTTTAAAGGAATATAGTTTGTGCCAATTGCAATGATTCCCACTGTACCTAATAGTTCTATGAAAAGCTGGTGCCGGTGAATTTTATGTCCATGAACAAATCAAGTTCGCTATTCTAGAAGTTGGAAATCTTATAGGCGAAATTTCTATATTATGAGAACGAAATGATGCCAAATTCACTTCATACTACTCTGAAATAGAACATAAAATATTTTTCATTGAATACTAGAAATTAAAATTCTCAGCCTTCTCAATAATCCTAAATGGCACATGCCTTTCATAGGTTTACGTTTTCGATGCAACTTCAATTTTCCAAATGTGATTTAAGTTTACGTACCATACAGCCACAGTTTTGCCAAAACCTAATGATATATTGTTCAGTTGCGCAATAAAAATAGCGGCCACAGCCTCATACAAAGCCGTACCGTCCATGTTAATTGTTGCCCCAATGGGAATTACAAAACGGGTTACTCGTGGATCCAAGCCCATTCTATCCATGGTTTGGATTGTGATTGGCATTGTTGCTGAGCTACAAAAATAGATTATTTCTTGATATAATAACCAAATAAACAAACAAAATAGGTACCTCGAAGCAGTGCCAAAAGCAGTTACCAAAACCTGACTCAGTTGTCCGATAATTTTAAAAGGAAGCCGTCGTAACATGACAAAATAAATAATTGAAAGAGTAACAAATCCATGTATAAACAGTCCTAGAAGTACCGTAAAAAAATAGAGACCCAATCGTCCAACTAAATCAGCAAAACTGACTATCTCCAGAACTTTGGCAACGACTAAAAAAAAGACTCCTAGAGGTGACAACCAAATGACCCAGCTGGTTATAATCATCATAGCCTCGCTTAAAGCATGAAAAAACTGCAACAAGATTTTTCCCTTTTCGCCTAACTGGCCCATAGCTATTCCAAAGACAATCGAAAAAGTCACTAGGCCCAAAACATTCGTAGTACTTTCGTAGCGTTCTTCGAATTTCCATCTTTCTGCTGGATAAATATCTTCTAGCTCCACGTCTCCATCTAAAACAAAAATTTCTCTTTGGGAATCATTTAAAAGGACTAAAATTTATACTCACAGTGTGTACTATTATATTTAATCTTCAGCAATCCTTTGAGCAAAGATTCGTTCAATCGTCTTTTATGATCTGGTGCGGATAAAGAGTCGAAAATTGCACTTTTTGATTCTGAATCTAGGCTTGAATTGCCGACGATGCTACGGATTGTAGCCTCATGGCCTCTTTTATATAGTGTGTAGACATTCGGTTCATGTAGAAATGTTTGAGACTAAAAAACATAAATAAATAAATAAGAATTTTGTCTCTATCTATTATAGAAATATGTTTACTTGATTTTTATACCAAATGTTCCAAAAAGCATCTGCTGCAGTCTGGTGAATAAGAGACTTAAACCGAGTATAATGGCGATATATTACTTATATTTTGATATAACGTTTACCTCACAAATTAAAAAACATATAGCAAATTCGAAAACATTTAAAAAAAAATCAGTTGTACGCCCCTGAAAGTACCTTACAAAAAGATAACAATAAACAGCAATATGAAGGCATTTTCAGAGCACAAAGACCAGAAAACGCATATAACAAAATTATACAAAGGCAAGGTAGGCAAAAAAAATCCGCGCAGAGGTTAATTTGGTGCCGGAGTTGCTAACCAAAGAGGAGAAAGACTCGACTCCAGGACAATCAACTTTATCAACCCTCATTCAAAAACCTGACAAGAGGAGATGAACTTGAGAAGTCCGGATTCATCAACTAGATATAAAATAAAAAAATAGGTGGAAACGAAAAATAGGCAAGAGGCACGACGACGAATAAAAAACTTGCAAACGGAACACTAGAATATAGGCAACGCAACATAACTATCAGCAATATGGTCAGATAAGAAAATGTACGATGTTATAATACAAAACTAGTGGACTGCTGCTTACATTAGATGAATACAACTTGCCCTCTCTCGATTGAAGGCAAGGCCCGGGATCCAGGAGTATAGTTACCTATCTTAGAATGCGTTTTAACAACTTTATGCATATAGCAGAAATATAGCAGAGCACACATTGAGAATAATCGACATAACCACTGTCCAATAAACTAACTGTTCCATTTACACAAGGTAGTAGCCAGTTAGAGACGATTGAATTTGATCGAAGTATCAACACCCAGACAAAGGAGATTTGCGCAAAAGATATGTAAAATTGAACAAACACAACGAAAAAAATGAACCAATCTACGGCGCCTTCTTTACAATAAGCCGTTTGGCTCAGCGCAGGTGTGGGCAATCTTCAGAGCTATGGAAAATGTCAATGCTCAAGATACTGAGATTTGGTTTCACATATGACAAGGGAACTACCAGAATAAATAGATCAAGAAAACAAGCGACAGAATTGCCTTCTCTTGCGCTGATATCTATGGATCCCAATTCTCGCTAAAAAGGAAAAATCTGGGCAATAATCTAAAATGTAGTAGGATCTTGGCTAAAGCGCAAAATGTAACGGTTCCGACAGGATTCAGGAAACGCTGCAGGTGGAATCTGGCTTATGTGAGCCAGTAGCTGAGATATTATAATTTTGTACCTATTTAGCATCCTGACGAACATGGGACTTTTTTCAATAGTAATATAACTAGTGCAATGGAAATTATTGATAATTTTTGGGAAATTTGCCCGAATGCATTTTTTAGTTAAAAACGCATGAGTGCAAATTTGTCGAAAATTATAAATATATTTCCATTGCACGAGTTGTATTTAATGAGAGAATTTCATAAATCAAAAATTTAAATTTTTTGTCAAAAAATGTCTAAACACCAGTTTTCGCACCAGTTAGTATGCAATTATCTGATAATTTGCACTAGTGCAAATTATCGCGTAATTACAATCTGATTGGTTCAAATCAACAATCAAAACATGTCAATTTATTGTTGAAATACCAGTTTTGACAGATGTATGAAATTCTCACAGTAATTGTATTAAGAAAATACAAGATTATTCCTGGAGATACTACTTGAAGATGTTTATCAGGAATCTCTAGAAATAGAATCTACCATTATTACTAAGCGAATTACAAATTTTCGAATAAGCAGCAATCTGTCAAAACAATATAATTTTAAGAGAGATTGATTAAGTCGATACTTGATGGAATTCCATTACAAATTTTGAAAAGAAACAATAAAGTTTCTAGATATCCACAATTTTTCAAACTTTTTTGTTTTTTTTCAAAAATATAATTCTAGAAACGCTGGTATTCTTTAATTATCAACCCCATTCTCACGGTTGAATTGCGGCAGAAACTTGCAGTTTTATTTTCTGGAGTTAGGGGGTAAAGAAACAATTCTCCGGTTGTCGGGAGGGTAGGACACTATAGGTATGTTTTGATAAGATTGTTCATAGAAAGGTGAGTGTAGCGTTCAGCTGGCGACACTGGCCGTACAGTCTATACTCATTCGGTAGCGATAATCAATCTGCTAATGAAACAGGTGATTATCAGCCAGTCCAGTAATTGAAATTATGCCAGAATGGAGCTCAACATAACTCGAGTTTCAGACCTTTCAAAATTCTTGCAAAATTATTTGCCAGTTCACGATAACATAGGCGAAAAAAATGAACAATTAAGAGACCACAACAACCTTTTACAATTCCAGAAAATTTTCGTACCTAGGTGATTATAAAAATTTCCATCTACACCAAATCAGTTGATACAACTTCCCAGATCAGCTAGCGGTGCTAGCTGATCCCAACGTTCAATAACTCTCTCGGCTTCTGCTAAACTTATTTTTTTATATACTCGTCACCCGAACCGAATGTGTCAAACTCATTAGAGACTTTTTGCACCTCTTATTTTGTCATTCCGCTATGGTTATCGTTATACTGAGTATGCGCAGTAGCAAAAAAATGTTCGTTGTGTTTATTAACCACAACGAGCGGACTTATTTAAGGGGGAATAACCTTGTGCTTATAGCTATACCTATGGTTATGGTGAAACTGCGTAGATGCCACATTGAAAATAATTTAATAGATGTCATCCCGTTTTAATGAATAATTAATTGAAATCATCTGAAAAAGTAAGTGTGGATTATCATTTTAATTTTCAATGTTATGAAATTGGTTTATAGTCAGAGAACGAGGCACCTCTACGATGCGTTTTAAGGACCCTCTATAAGACATCGCGAACAACCACCAGATTTTTCTAAATTTTTATTCAACACGCTGTATCTCCCTTAGTTTTAGTCCGATTAAATTGAAATTTTTTGGAGAGCCAATTTAGACCTTTGTTATTACGACTAACATAACAGAAATGCAGAAAAATATTACAAGTCACCATAATATATTTTTTTAAAGTTAGTGACACGAAAATTGTTAAAATTGCAGCCAGAAATACTCGATCGAGAAAACTTTTTTGTTTTTGAAGATAGATGTATATAGTAAGCGACAAAGTTGTAGCCAAAGAACCAAAGAAGTTTTTTCATTGTTGTGATTTTTTTAATAACTTAGCTAGTTTTCAAGCAAACGGATCTCCAATATAGATAAAAACTATGCCGGCCCCACGGCCGCTGCACAAGCGGTCGCCATGCGTATTCGTATTGCAGTTTCAGAGGGCAGGGATAATAACCAATAATAACCTATTCGATAATAATTAATCGGGGGTTTATTTCAAAGTTCATTTAGTGAATTTTAATTTTGGAGAAGGAGAAATATGTAAAAAATTTTAAATTTTGATAAAAACAATTGACACCGTCAGTAGTTTAAAATGTTTAAATAGATTCGATTGAAAATATCATTCATGTTGTTATTTATGTCCAGTGTTTTTTATCATACTCATCTTTGTTCCTGATTCAGTTCCTACTTTAATTAATTTTTGGATTGAGTAATGACTGATGTTAACTTAGTATCAGAGGAGACCGAAAACTTAAGACGGTATTTGAGGGAAAAACGCTATCGTATGCTAATCAGAACGTAACGGCAATTGAGACCAGCATTAACTATCTCTAGAGAAAATGCTCTCTTTTATGGTGTCTGCTGTACACTACAAATATGTGTCATATATATTTCATTATTTATTCACGAGATATGAAAATTCTAAATATTTCTGCTCCAGAAGTACGCGAAGCGTTTCATATCACGTAAATAATGAGGTATATTGATACCATATTTGTAGTGTCCAGCAAACACCAAAAAAAGGAGCTTTTTCTCTACAGATAGTAAATGCTGGTTCCAATCTCCGCTACGTTCTGCAATTGAATACCACTGTAGTATTTACATATCATATTTATGTACTGCAGCCAGAAAAGAGCAGTGGGGTTATTTTTAAAAGTTTCGTTGAATTGTTTTCTTAAAGGCTCAATATTTTTAAACAAACTACAGATATTAGCATACGATACCTCTACCATATCCAAACGTTATTCCCTCAAATAACGTCTCAAGTTTTCAATCTCCTCTGATACTAAGTTAACATCAGAACATTCAATGTTATTTGTTGTTGTTATTACCCAATCTAAAAACTAATTAGAGTAGGAGCTGAATCAGGAACAAAGATGTGAACATTGGACGTAAATAACAACATGAATGATATTTTGAATCGAATCTATTTAAATCACTGTCGTTGTCAATTGCCTCTATCAAAATTTAAAACTTTATTTTACATATTTCTCCTTCTCCAAAATTAAAATTTACTAAATGAACTTTGAAATAAACCCCCGATTAAGTATTATTGAATAGGTTATTATTGGTTATTATCACTGCCCTCTGAAACTGCAATACGAATACGCATGGCGACCGCTTGTGCAGCGGTCGCGGGGCCGGAATAGTTTTTTTCTATATTGGAGATCCGTTTGCTTGAAAACTAAGTAAGTTATCAAAAAAATCACAAGAATAAAAAAACTTCTTTGGTTCTCTGGCTACAACTTTGTCGCTTACTATATACATCTATCTTAGAAAACAAAAAAGTTTTCTCGATCGAGTATTTCTGGCTGCAATTTTACCAATTTTCGTGTCACTAACTTTAAAAAAATATATTATGGTGACTCGTAAGAACGGTCTAAATTGGCTCTCCAAAAAATTTCAATTTAATCGGACTAAAACTAAGGGAGATACAGCGTGTTTAATGAAAATTTAGAAGAATCCATAAAATTGGAGATTTTTTGGAAAATGCCGGTTTTGACCAGTTTCGCAATTCCAGATCGACTGGCGAACTCCAAAATCGGATCCGCCAGGTCAATTTACATAAGAAAACATTTTTTTAGGTGGTTGTTCGCGATGTCTTATAGAGGTTGCACG